GGGGGTACACTCCAGGAGGAGGATAAAGATCTCTGAGTAAAGATCCACTGGTGGGAAGTCAGGGCCTGTCTGGAGGGACTGGTGGGTTGGGTACAAGTGGCCTCCATCACCCCTGTGCATCCTCTTTTTTCCCCCCTACATTTTAAAAAATATATATTTTTATTGATTTCAGAGAGGAATGGAGAGGGACAGAGAAGTATCAATGATGAGCGAGAATCATTGATTAGCTGCCTCCTGCATGCTCCCTACTGGGGATTGAGCCCTCAACCCGGGCATGTGCCCTGACCGGGAATTGAACCGTGACCTCCTGGTTATAGTTCGAACTCAACCACCGAGCCATTCTGATTCTTGACCCCTCTCACACACCCGCCCTCCAGAAAAGGACTAGGAGGAAGTCAGAAGCACCACTGAGCAGGAGTGGGAGGGGCTGCTGCCCCCTGAGTAGGGGGGCTGAGCTGCTGCGGAGTTTGCCCCTGAGCTTGACAGTGGACAGAATTGTGGCCTCTCCCTCGGTCCCCCTGGACTGAGGGTGCCTCCCCTGGGGCCTGCCAGGCCCTTCCTGGGGTTCAGCCCCTCCCCATTGCTCAGTCACTGCTGTGCTGTGACACTGAGCAGGAGTGGGAGGGGCTGCTGCCCCCTGAGTAGGGGGGCTGAGCTGCTGCGGAGTTTGCCCCTGAGCTTGACAGTGGACAGAATTGTGGCCTCTCCCTCGGTCCCCCTGGACTGAGGGTGCCTCCCCTGGGGCCTGCCAGGCCCTTCCTGGGGTTCAGCCCCTCCCCATTGCTCAGTCACTGCTGTGCTGTGATCTGCCCTTCCCAGCAGCCTGGTGCCAAAACCATGACCTCAGTACTTTCATATCCACGGATGCTCCCCACAGCCTGCCCTGCCAGCCCGAGGCCATGACCTTATGGGTGACAGACCTTCCCCCAGGGCAGGAGCAGGCGGCAGCCAGCCTGCGGCTTCTGCTGCCCTGGGCCGCCTCCCTCTGTAGCGCTGGTTGCCCAGCTCCCTGGCTCCTGCTGCTGGAGTTCTTCACACCTTCAAGGGAGCAGTTTGGACCTGAGTTGAAACCAGTGGTTACCTAGTCTTTAGCGCTGTGATGTTCAGTCTGTTCGCTCCTGAGGACTCCCCATAGTATTTGCCTCTCTCCAGCACCCCCACAGTGTACCCCATGTCTTCAGAATTCAGATACAGCTGATTGTACTGCATAAAGGATAATTCATGTGCTTTCCTCAATTGTTTCTTAATAGCTACCAGTCTGAGCTTCTGATTAGCTAGAGATAACCAGTGTCACCCTTGGGGCTGGTAGGATCCCAGCCCAAAGCTCAGACATGGGCTGCTTCCCCATTTATGTCTGCCTGGCATGAGTAAATGGCCCTTTTCTCGGGGGTCTCTTACCACGAAAGCTCAGTGACATCCCCCCACATCCACACTATCTTAGGGGTAACTGGGATTGAGCAGCCTGCTAAGGACCCCCTGCCCTGGCAGCTTTAGTGCCCAGAGAACAGGTTTGGGGAGACTGGGCAGAGTGGTGGCTTGAGCTTCCAGGGTCCACCCAGTGCAGCCTCGGGGCATGTGGCTCCCACAGCAGGCCAGGCCAGGCTCTGCGGCAGCCCTGGAACAAGTGTTGCTTCCTCCCCATCAAGATTGGCAAAGGGACCGGCCCTCCCTCCCCGACCAAGGACCGGAAGAAGGATGTGTCGTCCCCACAGCGGGGCCAGTCCAGCCCCCTCCGCAGGAACAGCCGCAGCGAAAGGCGGTGAGTGATGGGGGCCGGAAAAAGGCTCTCTCCTTTCCTCTCATCTTCTGGATCCCATTTCTTTTCACCCCACTTTTCTCATTCCCACTGTTCTCTTTCGCCCTCGCTGAAGAGAGAGGATTTGAGGTGGTGGGTGTGTGTGTTTATGTGTTGACACCTCCCAGAAGCGATGCAGTCCCATTTCCCCAGAGAAAGCAGCACTCACTAGCCCACTGGTCACCCTGGCCCCTGGCGAGAGGTCTGAGGCCAGCGTCTGTGGGAGGGAGAAGAGGAGGGATGGGCCCTACCAGACAGAGGTTCTCCCAGAATATTGCTGGGAAAGGTGTGAACACCAGACAGCAGCAGCTTTGGACATAACCTTTGCCCCTGCGAGTCTGTGGTTTTTACCTCTCTCTAGATCAGTGATGGCGAACCTATGACACGCGTGTCAGAGGTGACACGCGAACTCATTTTTTTGGTTGATTTTTCTTTGTTAAATGGCATTTAAATATATAAAATAAATATCAAAAATATAAATCTTTGTTTTACTATGGTTGCAGATATCAAAAAATTTCTATATGTGACACGGCACCAGAGTTAAGTTAGGGTTTTTCAAAATGCTGACACGCTGAGCTCAAAAGGTTCACCATCACTGCTCTAGATGGCAGAAATATCCCAGTAAAATGCCAGGCCACCACCTCTGATTTGTCTCCTACCTGTCAGACTGGTTCTTGCTTTCAATACCCTTGTCATTCAGGAGCCACCTGTCTGGTAGGATTTAGGGGCACCAAGCAGGCTCCCGATATTCAGCATCTTTCACTTCCATCTAAAGAACTGGGTCCCCGCACAGAGGTTTACACATGAAGCTCTTATAGCCAACTGTGGCCGGATTAGCTGACCTCCAGCAAAGGCCAGCAGCGTGTAAGGGATCTCAGGGACCACACTCTGGACAGCACCGGTCGCCCGGGATTCCAGAAGCAACTCCCACGCGGACTCTGCTGCTGCATTTGGGCACCATGAAGAATGGAGCAGGGAGGTCCCAGGGGCACCTCCACTTGCTCCCCCCTCCCCCACATCCCTGATGGACCACTCACCCTTCTCCTTCCTCTGCTCTCTCCTCCCTGCAGGCCTTCGGGTGAGAAGAAGCCTTCCGAGCCCAAAGCCATGCCAGACCTCAATGGGTACCAGATCCGGGTGTGAAGCGGGTGGCAGCACCCGGCCTTGCACACTCCGGGGGGCCAGGATCGCCTGCCAGAACCAGCCTGGCTCCTGGGGAAGGCAGGGCTGGTGATGGGGCAGGTGAGCAGCGGCAGGACGAGTGTGTTCCAGCTCAGCCACCAAGGCTGCTGCCCCTCCCACGGGGCCAAGCTCCTAACTTTGGGCGAGAGGCAGTGTTCTATTTGGAGTTTTTAACTTGACAACTACAGCTTACGGTATTTGGGAAAAATGAAAAATGTGATGGACCTGCCACTGGCTGGCAGGCCTGTGTTTGGGAGAACTAACTGCCATGCGGCTGAGTGAGGCAGGGGTGCTGGCCCTGCTGGTTCCCCTGCCCCTGGCGACTCTGGGAAGTGGGTCCATCCCACGTATGGGAAATCTCCCAGCCCACAAGGCCTGTGGCGGGACGGCAGAGGGTGGAGGTGTTTCTCCACGCCCGCCTGCCCTGGCAGCATCTTGACACAGGGAAAAGGAAGCAGGGTAGGAAGCATCCTGGGAGAGGTCTGTGGCCCATCTCAGGAGCTTGACACAGGTGACATCTCCCCAAGGGCGCGAGTCCACGGCCCAGGAGAGCCTTCGTGACCTTGCAGCCCCATAGACAGATGGTGCTCTGAGGACTGACACTGACCACTGGCACGCCCCCTGCTGGGGGGCTGAGGGAGAGCCCAGGAGAGACCCACTGGGGGAAGAGTTCCCGAGCCCCTACCCCCTCTTGCTCAGCCCAGATCTGCCTCTTGCTGAAGCTGGGCTCCCTGCAGAGGGCTGGGCAGTGCTGAGGGAACAGATTTGCACTGGGTTCAGCGTGATTGTGGGGACTGAACAGAGCTGGCGGGCCCAGGAGCTGTGGCTGGGGACAGGGTGGTACACTCAGGCTTGGGTCTGTCCCCTTTCCTCCCCCCTTCCATTACCTCAGCCCTTGTTGCGGAAATGAAGACCTGGTCAGAATGCTTGTGCCTCAGGTCCACCTCCCCTCATCTAGCAGCCTGTTTAGGGTTGGGGGTCCCAGTGATGATCAGGCCTGTTGTCAGGGAAGAACCTGAACAGCCGGAGTTTGCACAGCCCTCCCATCTGGCCTGAGAGAACTGGCGGGCAGGTGAGAGGTAGTAGAAAGAGGTTGGTAGGGTCGGGGGAAGGTTCTAGAGTTTTAAGCAACCAGGAGGTGGAGGGCAAGGGTGCATTGTGGCCCCTGAGGAGGGGCAGAGTCTGAGAACTGGGGGGTGTAAGTGAGAAAAGGATTTGGGGGAGAATTTAGAGTCAGGCTGCCTTGGGGAGCAGTCAGTTCCCTATTGCTGGAGGGATTTAGGCAATGACTAGATGGCTACTTGTCAGAAAGCGGTTGAGAGGATTCAGGTTATGAAAGGGTAGCTGGATGGGAGGACCATTAAGGTTACTTTTAACTGAGAGGCTCTGATTCAGCCAAGGGCAGCTGTCATAAGGCTACAGCGGGGCTTGGAGCCTGGAAAAGGGAGGACCAGAACTAGAGTTGTAAACTCAGATAACCTCACAGGGCCAGGCAGGTGATGAAAAGGAGGACTGCAGGGCTGGGTGGGGACTGTGGCAAACTAAAGAGGGCATAGGCCTCATTAAAGCAGCCACTGCTGCTCAGTTGTTCTCAGAGTGCAGGCCCTGCATTGCCAGATTTTCTGAGATTTTCAGAGGCCAGAACTCTGAATTTTTATGTGAAATATTCTGATTTTTAAATGTTGGCAAACAGTTCGGGGAATTTTAAAAGCCAACATGAAGGAGAATGCCTAGTTGTAATCTCTGAAGTGGAGAGCTTGTGCTGGGAAGGAGTGCACGGATGTGCTTACAGGAGGGAAATGTGAAAGTCCTAGGTTTCCCAGGGCTGGCCAGGCCAGGGCAGGGGCCTCGCTGCTGAGGCTCCGGAGTGGGCAGCGTCCCATGTTCCTCACTCTCCCTGCAGACCAGTCACTCACCAGAGACTCCATGGCTGCTGTGTCACCAGAGGGGGTGGAGGGGAGTAGCGGGAGTGCAGTTCTCAACCTGCTCCGGAAGCAAAGAAAGTAGGAGGGAGGGAGACAGGTCTTCTTTGCTAATGGGAGCATCCATCAGGAGTGGCACCAGGGGCTGGCAGCTCTTCAAACCAGCAGCTCTTAGCCCAGAGCCAGGCCCAGCAGGGAGGCCAGCTGGTCAGTCCCTGGGGTTCCTCGTGGATCACTGGTCCCTGGCAAGGTACTTAACCTCAGCCAGAGCAAGTCGAGGGCCACTGTGACCCCTGGCTCACCGTCCCATCCCAGCTCTCAGGGAGTGGGGTGGTGGTCCTAATGTCGCCACATTCACCTGAGACGGAGATGGCTCACTCGGGAGGCATGAGGCTGAAAACGAGGCCATTTCCAGGTCTGGGTGTGAGTGCCTCGTGCAGGCCACTCAGCAGAGAAGTGGCCCCACCTGCCCCGGTGGACCACAGGGCTTGAGACACACGAGAGGGAGCTGGGAGCTGGAAGCTTGGGTCAGGAAAACAGGGAAGCTGCTTCCAGCACAGAAGCCTAGAAGGATGCTCCAACCCACAGGTTCCACTACAGAGCCCTCTGGGAAGAAGGAAGCAGAATGAAGTCCCTACCCCAACTGCTGTCTGATCATTCTAGCTGACAATCCCCAGCACGCCCCCTCCTGGCTGAGACCTGGGGCCTGTGGAGACCACCAGGGATACAGTGGTGCTTTTAATTTATTTTTAACTTTCTCATATGTAGCAACCCCTCTGGGCATGTTTACACAGGCTCTGCTTCCTGGGGCTGGCCTGGCTGCAGTTTCTGGGGAGGCAGAGGCAGGGACTTTGAGGCCTTAGTCACCATCCTCAGTATCACCTCATCTCACTTCCTGTGAGGACCAGCAGCCTGGCTCCCCCTGACTCAGGACTGCCTTCCAGCTCTCAGTGTGGGCTCCTCTGCCCCTGGGGTGTGGGCTGCTGGCTGAGCGGTCAAGGTGAGGTCAGAAAGAGCTGCTGGATGAAGGTGGGTCAGGTGGGGTGGGGGGTGATTGCTCCCCAAGCCTGGCTCCTTGTGCTTGGTGCCAGGAAACTGGGTTGAGAGAGCCTACCCACCCCCTAACTGCCAGTCCTCTCCCTCCCATGGCCTCAACACATAGTCACCCTCACCCATCATACCAGCCACCCCATCCTTCCCAGGCCTGGCTAAGTGGGGAGCGCAGTAGCCCCAGCCCCGGTACAGTGGTGAAGCCTAGGGCCAGGGAGCTGAGGATCAGAGCCCAGAGGAGCCGTGTCTGCTTTTGGCCCTGTCATCTCACACCCCACCCCTCCCAGCTGGGACCTGACTTCCTGGCTCTGGGATGGGTCTGATTCAGGTCAGTAGCCTTCCCAGAGGCCTGTGTGCACCTGGGCCTCTTGTCTGGGTGGTTTTCTGGCTTAGCCACAGGGCATCCCCGGCCCACCCTCTGGCCCCAGAGCGCAGGGAGGTGAGAGCTGGGCCGGCCTATTGATTGCGTGGTCAGCTCCGTGGTATTCACAGCCCCACTTCCCTCGATCCCAGTGAGAAACAGGGAGGTCCTCCAAGGAGTGTGGGGAGGAGTGTGGGCCTGGAGCGAGGAGGGCTGCCCAGGCCAGCCGGGCCGCCGTGGTGCTAGCTGCAGGCCCGTCAGTATTGACCTTCTCACCCGTCTTGGTGCTCCAGTGCCCCAGTTGCACTCTTCCATCAGATCTGACGAGAGGAAACCGGGTGTGCGTGGCCCAGGTCCGGAGATGGCGGCCGACCTTTTCCCTTGAGTTTGTGTTGCTCTGCGTGTTGTACTAGTTTTGTCCTTCCTCTTCTCATATCAGTATTGCGCCTCCCCATCCACTTTTACGCTTTGTCTCATTCCTGTTCTCACCCTCCCACCGAATGAATAAAGTCTCCCCAGCTCCGGCTGCATGGGCTGGGCGGAACCGGGACCTGCAAGCCTTGTCTCCTTTCCTCTGGGAGCCGGGGCTGGAGCCCACCCGCCACCACTGTCGGCCTCGGCGTCTCCGGGAAGAACCTGACCAGAGGTGAGGGGAGCCCCACAGCCCCTGCAGCCAGGATGAAACTTCAGGGTTCCTAATCTGCCCCCTCAGCCTGCTGAAGCCACAGAGCTCTTGTCAATCCTAACTGGGGAGACCTTTCCTGCTGGCTGTAAGTGAACCCCTTGTCCTTGGCACAGCCAGCCTGGTCCCCGCAGGGAGGATACGCTCCATTCGAGCCCTGCTCTTCCTCTCCTCATCCCCAGCAGTCAGTCCCTGCAGAACAGAGGAAGGGTGAATGTCCTCCTGGGAGATGAGGTTATTTCAGGAAACCATAGCAACAGGGGCCTGAAGTCCTTCTCATCACAGTTACCAGTGCAGAATCTATGGCAGTTAAAGCCACAGCTTTGGAACACAGGCCTGGGTCCATCCGTCACCCATGCCGCTGCATCATCCCTCGGCTCTGGGCCTCTTCCCACGCTTTAAGCCCAAACAGTTGCAAGCAGCTTGTGCAGAAATATCTTTCAGACCTGGAAGCATTTTTACCTTTAACCCTTCCTGCTCTCCTTTCATTCAGCTTGAGAGTAAAACCTAGACTTATAAGAGGTGGAATGCTTTCTACTTCTGATCCCAGCCAATCCCCACAAAGTCCTAACTACAAGTGCAGTTGAGCACAGCAAGCTCCCTCCCTTGCAGCGTGTGCTGGTGAGGCATGGCAGCTGGGAAGAGGAGAGGCCGTCCATTGGAACCCACAAATATCTCAGACACCACAGCATTAAATAGGCGCAGTTTTGTTACTTACAGGCTCAGATAAATCAGGTTAATACCAAAAAGCACCTTTCAATAAAGGTAACAGAACTTGGGACTAACTAGGACCGTACACCTTTACCCAAAGGCAATGTCATTTACACACTCAATCCAGCTAAAATACCTTTGAGTAAGGGCCTCGTGGGTGGGCTTCAGCGAGATGGACTCACAGTGGGCCCTGGGCTGCTCCCTTGCAAATGAAAGCTGGGTAGGGGCTAGGCAAGCATGTCGAGTCGAGGGTTGTGCTGGACACGCTGGGCTGCTTAGAGCTGATGCAGAGGTAAATGCCGTGGCTCCAGGAGGGTCAGAACCCAGCCTGCTGGGGGCTCCGCATGGCCTGCCGCCCTGCTGTCAGGCTCCCAGCAGGTGCCTGCCGACTTTCGGCACATGATTTGGGGTGGGCCTTTGGATGGAGGTAGCACTTCTCAGAGCCCTGAACGTGAGGAGGCTGAAGCTCTGCCACCCTATCTGCCAGGACCTGACATCTCGACCAATGTGTTGAGGGCAGGGATGATGATAGGCAGTGGTAGTCAGACCACAGAGTGGCCAGGTGCAGGCTGCCTGGCAATCCTTAGTGTTTGCCAAGGGGGTGAGGGGACGTGCTGCTGGGGCCTGGCAGGTGGTAGAGATGGGCCACCTCAGGTCAGCGGAAGGGACAGCTCTCTGAGGCCAGCCCACTTGGGAACGTGTCCTCTCGAACCTGCAGCCAGAAAGGACTTAGTCGTAGGAAAGACAAAACCTCTAAGAACTAAGTGTAGAGGCTCCTTCCTCTCCATCGCTGGGTGAGGCCTCAGGCCTGAGGAGCACAGAAACTGGTTAGGGTTGGGGCAGAGGCAGAGTTCCCTTCAAAACACTAAGTTTACATTCTCCTAACCCAGGCGAGACCGGCACCCCAAGCTCTCATCAGGCTGACCTTGTGCACATTTGCTCAGGAGGGGAAGGAGACAGGCGGTGCACCAGGATGAGTCTAGAAGTGCAGGGCTGTAGGTCAGCTCTCTGTCCTGGCTCCCTCCTACACCTGGGAGGAGAGAAGCCACACTTTGCATTATGTAGCCAATCAAAAAAACAATCCGTTAGTAGCTACACCGGGGCAAGAACTGGAGAGAAAAACAAAACTTGAGTTTAAACATAAAAGCACACCAGTTGCAGCCTGGTGGGTGGTTTCCCTTCTCCCCCCACCAGCGGGTCTGCCCTGAAAGATAGCCTCTCTCCTACTCCTGGAAAGGCTGTGTGCTGAGGAGTGTGGGGTGGCAAGAAATAAAGCAAAGGAGACTCGCAATTTACCTCTTTGGGATTTCTATTTCCTCGGGTGTAAAGGTAAGACATGAACACCTGAACTGCCCATCACAGTGCTGTGATCTATGCATAGAGGGCATGGAGTACTGGTCGATAAAGTGCTATAGGGAACCCTCTAGGCCAGGAAAGGGGTCTCTGGGGATACACCCCAAAGCTTAGGAGGTATGAAACAATGCCAGCCCATGGGCCAATCGTCCAGCCTGGCTGGGGAGAACTACCCACCCGCACCTCCCACCAATACTCGGGAATCCTTAGCAGCCCTTGCTTGTCAACACCCAAACAATACAATTTCAGATCTGAAAATTCCTCACAAGTGGAAAAGATTATTGCTTTAATTTCCATTTCACCAAGATATGTGACTGAAACACAAGCGTTAACTTACCCACAGTCACCAGGCCAAGATGACCAGTGGTGTTCCTAATCCCTCGTGCCCTCTCCACGGACTCCCAACCCAGGTGGTGCCACAGAAGCACCCTGGTAGCTTTAAGTAACTCAGATTCTCAGCAGCTGACTCACAGGTGTGGGGTCTGGGAATCTGGTCAGGTAAGGCAGAAAACCACCCCCCGTTTCAGAGCTTCCCACGCACATGCGGGCTTGGTGGGCTTGCGGCTGAAGGAGGCTGGAGACAAAAGCACCAGCAGAGTGAGGCCGAGGAAGAAGAGAAACCTTTCCAGCAACAGATGGCCCACAGCTCAGCTCTGGCTGCAGAACGCAAAAGAGATTATCAGAAATAGCAGCTCAGCAAGAGGCATCCGCCGCACGCACCAGGCCTCATGCAGCTGCCATAGGAAACATTTCTCGTCCCACTTTCCACACAGACCCTCCTGAAATGCAGTCTGGACGGGTGGGGGGTGGGGAGCAGCAGATGGAACAGAACAACAGTGGCTGGGAGAGCTCTTCTCTCTAGCTGGGCAAGGATGGAGAAGAGAGCTGCCCAAGAAAAGTCAGGGCAGAAGCTTCGCCCACGCCCTGTTCCCCCACGGCCTCAGTGATCAGAGGGAGATTCCCTCACTTTTCTCCCGTGTAGGTTTAGGACTTGAGACCCCATCACAAAGCCAGTCTCCTCCTCTCGGCCCACCTCATTCTCCAGGCCTTCTCTCCCCCGTGCCCTGCAAGATCCTAATAAAATGACCAACCGGAGGGCGGAAAAGTAAACCTTTATTTGGAAAAGAGAATTTAAAGCCCCATTTTGTTTCCAAAACAGAAACAAATAAGAAAACAAAACAAAAATGATTATCAGGCTACCTGCCCTCTGCCATCTTCAGCCATTTTTAAACTGCATTTCCTGGCAGAGAACAGGGAAGGGCAATCGTCTTAGAAAACAACAGGGCACTGTTATCTCCGGAGGTGCCCAGAGAGAGACAAACAGAGTGTACGGTGGGGATGGACAGGCAGACCTGGGGCTCAGACAGGCACATGCCCACTACCCAGGAAACACTGTTTAAGAATACACACATATTTAAATTTCCAAGAACCTAGGTGTGGAAAGTTTATAACCACGAACACAGCAGCAGAATTCAAGCTGGGTCTTTGGCTTTCAGAAGAAGGAGAGATCATTAAATTCACCTCTGGCTAACCGCCCGTCTCCGGCTTCTCGCCATCCCTTCAGTCCTGTGCTGGAGGGCAAGTGGGCAACAGCAAGTCAAATCCACCAGGGCCAGCAGCCGTCTGAGTTAAGGGATATGAGGAACAGCTGACCCAGAACCCCCGGGGCCACCCCCAGCAACAGAAGATTAAGGCAGGCAGGTGACGCGCGTGTGGGCACGGAAGCCCCCTGGATGGGCCGGGTACCCTGCGCGAGGAGGGAAAGCAGAGGCAATGCGCAGCAAGGCCTTGCTGGCCTGAACAACTCCTCAAGCACTTGTGCCCAAGGCCACCTTTTCACTGAGAAGGTTTGGCCTGAGCTAAATAGCAGGCTTTTCTAGGGAGAAAACGGGAGGGGATGAGGGAGGCAGCAAACAGTAAAAGTGGTGGAGGGAAGAGAACAGGTCCCTGAGGTCCTGAGTCCCAGCTGAGGCAGCTGCAGAGCCCGCCTGCTCTTTCCCTACGGGACACGCCCACTTCGCCCTAGCTCTGTGGGCTACAGCAGCGGTCGCCAACCGGGGGTCCGGGAGGTCCGAAAGGTTGGCGACCGCTGGGCTACGGAGTCCAGTGAGCCCATTGTTTCTTGAAGGTTCTTTCTCCTCACCCTTAAGGAGTTTTAAATCTCAAGTCACTATCCCAGCCCACGGACCCCACACAAACTTTCACCCTCCTCGGGGACAAGCCTAGGGAAAGCACACCAGGCCTTGGGGAGCTCGGGGGTGGAGGCCTCTGGGGCAGGTACTGCATCCCCAATTGTGCGACAAGCCTAGGGAAAGCACACCAGGCCTTGGGGAGCTTGGGGGTGGAGGCCCAGAGGCCTCTGGGGCAGGTACTGCATCCCCAATTGTGTTGCTCCAGGCTGGGGACCCTTTCGTTCCCAGAGCTCAGTGATGAGTATGCCCTGGCTGGCATGATGAATGCCTAATGAAACAGGATAAAAGGAGAAAGGCCCGTGCCCCAGCTGCTGCCTGGCAGCACACAGGCCCCAGGTGGTGCTCTCAACCTGCCCCTAGGCCGACAGCCCCAGTGTGGACAGCAGGCTGATCGAGGCAGGTATGGCCGCACAGAGCAGTCCCACCTTGAGAGGATGCACACCCACTATACACATTTCACACGTGTGTGCCTGGCAAGAGGGCTGGGCACAGAGGTTGTGAGGACGGGGAGGAGGTCGGATCAGAAAGTACCACCAAGAAACGGCCTGAAAGCAAATAACAAATGAGATCAATAGCTCCCACAACCCTGGTAATTAAAAATCAAGAGGAGCGCTGGATACATGGAAGGAAGGGGGAAGCCCCCCTTCCGCCTCTCCCAGGGCCACCAAGCATGTGGCACAAGAGGATTAGGAAGAGGTTGGGGCAGGGAAGGGACCACAGGCAGAGAGCCTGGACAGGCCCACAGAAAATCTAACCATGGGAAAAGGGAACAGGAGGGGAGGGGAGGGGCTGTAAGTTTCTTGGATCTAAGTTTTCAGAAGCATGGGATATTTCCAGTCTCTGACCCAGTGGGCTCTTCTAGAAGAGCGGCTCTCTTCCCTTGGGAGCCCATCATGGGGCGGTCACTTCCATCCCGAAGCTGGCCAGCAGGCAGAGGTGGTCTGAAGAGCAGAAGGGGTTGGGTAAGCCATTGGCAGCCCAGAGAATCTCTTCAGAGAGGAGGGAGAGACGGCCCAGGAGCTTGAGAGTTCCATCTTGATATAGCCTGTGATCTGGGGCACAAAGCAGAAGCCAGAGGGCAGAGGGTACGAGAGTCAGTCACACTGCATGGAGAGGGCGGGGCCTATGGAAGCTATGCCTTACGGAGGCTCCATCCCCTTGGCTGCCCACCCTCCTTCACCTCCTGCTGCCTCTAGGAGAGGCCTCGTTTTTCTCAGATACTCCATGATATATCAATGAATAAGCAGGGTGGGTTCCAAGGAACTGTGGCAAAATGGAGAGTGTATGCCAGGCCCAACATTATAAGATCTTGTTTTCCAAGAGAAACTGGAAATCCAGATTTTCTATACAAAAATCTGATTTTTAAACATGGGCAATCAATTTAAACATTTAAAAAGACATGCTTTAAACAAACAGACCCGGGGCCTATAGACTGCTACACTGTGACCACCAGTGTGGGTGAGGAGATAGGACACGGGGTCTCTAACCCGACCGAGTTCCTCACTAACCAGACCCACTGAACAGATGCAGTAATCTCATGGTGCTCTACTTTTTCCCTCCAAACCAGGGATGGAGAGTGCTTGTTCTGCCCACCTCTCTCTAATGCTACAAGGATCAAAAGAGAAGTCAGACAAGTGGCCTAAGAGAAGGATGATGAGGATGAGCAGTGCTAGGTAGGCATGAAATCTGCTCTTTTGCTGGTCAAGTCCCAGCAGCCCCAGCCATGCCACCAAATGCCTGACCTACCATCAGCTGTCCCAGGGACTCAGGTGGATGGCTCCTAGGAACCCAGGACCCACCAGGCTTACCAGTCCTGTTCCCATTCTCGCAGGACTCAGCTGAGAAGAAGATGTAATCCACTGTTGCTCCAATACCCAAGGGCATTGTGGTGACCTCTGGGCGGCAATGCTGGGGCAGGAAGTGAGTATATACCGAGGTCAGGTGGAGGCAGTGCTGGATGGTGCCTACGGTCCTACAGGGATGGAGAGGACAATTTCAGTCAGCAAACATTATTGAACTTTTCTCAAGGTTACTTTCTTTGTGGGTTTTATGAAGTATTTTTAATGAATGATCCCAAATAACAGTCTCAACAAAAATTCCTCCCCATGCTAATAAGAGGCCGACAGTCTTAGCTATAATTAGCCTAGAAACAGCACATGCATTCTCATTCCCCCTGACATTCCTCACCCCGACTCCTCCCTTGCCCCTGACAAAGCATACCCTGTCCATGCAAGAGGCCTCCCTCCATTGAGGAAAAGGGTGTGGGCTTTTCCTCTGCAGGCACCTGGGTGGGTCACCTCTGGCCTCCGTTCACTTGTATGCCCTTCCATAAGCTTAGCAGGTATTGGGGGGAAGGAGAGCTCAACAAAAAATGCTCCCCCAAATTAGCCTTAGGAAGGCCAACAGGAATCTCTCTCCTATACTGGAATGCAAGCTAAAGGGAACTAGCAGGAGGATTACCTGGGGGAGACGGGCTCGGGCTCGGGCTCAGGCTCAGACATGTCTTCCTCAAGAACCGACTCGGCCCAGCCAGCAGGTCGTTCTGTAGAAGATGGGAGAGGAAGATGTTCTGTCATTCACAGACAGTGAGCAGGGTCAGAACCTTGCACCCTGAAATCCTTCTCAGATCCATGACGGAACTGCTCCCAAAGGGAAAAGGGAAAAATAGTGAAGAGTGGAAAAAACAATGGACCAAAGTCAGGAACCGCAGGAAGGCAGACAGAGGCCTCTAGCATATACATTTATCTTCCTTGACTCAGCAACTTTTCTTAAAATTTAAATTTATTTTTAAAAGGTGATATAGTCAGCTCAGGCTGGTGTTTCTCAATGGTTAGAGCGTTGGCCCACACACCAAAGGGTCTTGGGTTCGATTCCCAGTCAAGGGCATGCACCTCACTGCAGGTTCCATTCCCAGCCCATTGGAGTAGGTGGGGGAAGCAACCGGCAATGTGTCTCTCTCACATCGACGTCTCTCTCTCTCTCTTTTCCCCTCACCCCCTTCTACTCTCTCTAAAAAAATCAATGGAAAAAATATCCTCAAATGAGGATTAACAACAACAAAAAGTTTTAAGAAGGTAATACAGTCACATGGTAAAAAAAAAACAAATGTTGCAAAAAAAAATCAGTGAAAAGTCTCCCTCCAATTTTAGGTCCCTTGCCACACAATTCTCTCCAGAGGCAACGAATGGTATCAAATTTTTGGTATATTCCTCCAGATATTTTCTATCACACACCATCTAGTGTGTGTGTGTGTGTGTGTGTGTGTGTGTGTGTATACACACATATATATGCATATACACATGTACACATATACATGCTTTTTTACACATGTTTATATACACAGACACACAAAGAAAAAGGCACATTATCAATATCAGGAAAGAAAGAGGGGATATTATTACAGATTCTACTGACATTAATGGGTGTTATGGACTGAATGTTTGTGTCACTCCAAAATATGTTGAAATCCTAAGACCCCCAATGGGATGGCATTGGGAGCTGGGGCCTTTGGGAGTAATTAGGTCATGAGGGTGGAGACCTTATGAATGGAATTAATGCCCTGTGAAGGGATCCCAGAGAGCAAATATCATACTTAATAATGAAAACAATAACTAAGTTACAGGTCTTACAGTTCTCTATTTCAAACTTATACAGAGTTAAGATAATCAAGACAGTGTGGTACTGGCCTAAAGATAGACATATAGGTGAATGGAATATAATTTAGAGTCCAAAAACCCATATGTCCATGGTCAATTGATTTTTCCTGAGAGGGGTGAATGGAAAGTGACTGCTAATGGATCTAGGGTTCCTTTTGGGGGTGATGGTTTTGGTGTTGATTACACAACTCTGAATATACTAAAAGTCACTGAATTGTATACTTTAAGTGGGTGGATTTTATGGTATGTGTATTTAATCTCAATAAAGTCTTTTTAAAAAAATATATTTTATTGATATTTTATAGAGAGGGAGAGGGATAGAGAGTTAGAAACATCGATGAAAGAGAAACATCGATTAGCTGCCTCCTACACACCTCCTACTGGGGATGTGCCCGCAACCAAGGTACATGCCCTTGACCGGAATCGAACCCGGGACCCTTCAGTCCGAAGGCCGACGCTCTATCCACTGAGCCAAACCGGTTAGGGCAATATAGGTCTTTTTTAAAAAGGATAAGGAAATGTTACAATTTCATACCAATAAATTTGATAATTTAGATGAAATGAAATATTCCTTTATATATCTTATATTTCCATGTTAATTTTTTTATTTTTGTTGCTATTATAAAGAGTTTTTTCATTATACCTCTTTTGTTGTTGTTAATCCTCACCTGAAAATATTTTTTTCCATTGATTTTTAGAGAGAGTAAAAGGAGGAGAAAAGAGAGGGAGAGAGGGAGAGAGAGAGAGAAACATTGATGTGAGAGACACACATTGCCTGGTTGCCTCCTGTACATGCCCCAACTGGGCCCGGGGATCGAACCTGCAACCCAGGTGCATGCCCTTGACTAGGAATCAAACCTCGACCCTTTGGTGCATGAGCCAGTACTCTAACCACTAAGCAACACCAGCCAGGGCTTCATTATATTTCTTAACAAATATGTCATTATTTTTATATATGACTACTATGGCTTTCTATATATCAATATTGTACCCAGCTACTTTCCAGAATTATCTCAATGCTTATGACAGTTGTTAGTTGATTCTCTTAGGTCATCAGTTATATAAGATATTAACAGCAAGTAATAATTTACCCCCTCCTTTCCATTTTTCACTTCTATTTTCTTACCTGTATTTCTATTTCCTACTTCTAATTATGGTATCTCTGAACTCAGTTGAATAATAGCGATCATCCTTGTCTTGTTCCTGACTTTGCTACTAGAGTATTATTTTAAATAAGATCCTGATTTTTGGAGCTGAGATAAACTTATTTTTCAGGCCCATGGCAAATCTATGCCCTCCTCCCACTCCTCACAGCCTCAGAGCCTAGTTCCTCACTGCCACAACATGTTCCGACTAAAATAAATGTATTTGAATGGTGTAAGGATTATCTACTTTTTCCTTAATTGAAGAGGGCTCTTTTTACAAGAATACAGAATAGATGCTGAATTTTAACAAAATGTCTCTGACATCTATAGGATGCTTTTCTTTTCTTTTTTAAAATATATTTTTATTGATTTCAGAAAGGAAGGGAGAGGGAGAGATAGAAACAACAATGATGAGAGAATCATTGATTGGCTGCCTCCTGCACGCCCTCTACTGGGGATCGAGCCTGCAAACTGGGCATGTGTCCTGACTGGGAATGGATCAATGCTGGTTTATATGTTGACACTCAACCACTGAGCAGCACCAGCTGACTAGGATGGTGTGTGTGTGTGTGTGTGTGTGTGTGTGTGTGTGTGTGTATG